TATATCTTTGAACTAAATGATAAATAAGTGAATTATTAAAATGAATTCATGAACACAATCGTTATTATTCATCAATTTATCTCGACAATTTAGAATAACAATGTCATTTTTAATGAACTTTTAATAAAATTTATTCAATGATATCAGAGATATCGATTTGAGATCTTAGCTTGTTTATTTATGACAACTTTTTTTTGATTAATATGAAGAATTTCTTCAAAAATGGAAAAGAAAAAGTTTTCAATAAATCTTCTCCAAGAAAGTTTTAATTTTCTTGACATTATTTGCGATGAAAAAAGCTTTAAAAAAATTAGAGCAAAGATAAGATTAATTTAATTAGAGTCTTTTTTTTGTTCAGAGAACCGAATGATTTTCTATTTTAAGAAAACAACATATTCATCATTAATATGAAGTTCCCTCTAAAATTGCTTGATCTTAACAGATCAGTTCGAAAAAATCTTCTATTGTATTTTCTTTTTTAAATCCTGGAGACGTTTTATTTGATTTGTAAATCTACATTCAATGGATTATCAGTTTACAGTGTTTGTCAACACATCACTAGAAAATGAGAAAAAAAAACGAAAGAAAAAGAAATATTTATATTCAAGTCAAAATCTTTTTATTTTATGTTTGGGAAATGCTTTATTGAATAATTCGAAAACTTACACATCTTCTGAATAAAAGTAGAATGTCAATAAATAAATTCGTATAATTAGTGGAATAATATTAGAAAAGACAATGTGTATTTTTTACAGATTGCAGTCGTTAAATATGAACAAAAATCTTTTAAAAATAGGTTTATGAAGTTTTAAGACAAAGGTAAAAACGAATAGTACTCTTTTCATCAAGCTATTTCAATGATAGAAAATCATAATAACTCATCTGTTGTCAAAAAGAACAGCTTTCTATATATTCTTTTTTCAAGTAAGAACTAAATTATAATTAACAATTTAACTTTAAATATGAGATTATTAAAATAAAATATCTAGGTACACAATAAGTAATTGATAAAAAGAGTGCGACTTTCTTAAGAGATAGTTTATGGCTAAATACAATATAATTACTAAAGACTGTCATACGAAAAATTTTTATATAGATTCTTCATTATTGTGAGTGGAAAATAACAAAAACAACCTCTGTAAATAAAAAGCTAAATTCATTTCTGAGGAGAAGAATAGAAATTTGGATCTGTAGATTTCTTTTAATATTCTTCCATTTGAAATAATAAAAGAGTTATGGTAAAATTTTTCCTGTGAGAATCAATAGTAAATATGCTTGATTCGATAACGAATCATTTCTTAGTTATTTATTCTATCAGAATAAGTAAAATATTTTGAAGATCATTAAATAAAAATAAAAACTTAAAAATGAGTAATCAGAGGTGTTGCGCCCCTCCCCTGCTTTGAGTGGCTCGGTACGCCCCTGTGAGTAATAATAAGTTAAAGAGACATTCTTCCGAATAAATACTAAAGAATACAACAGTGATTTTCACTTTATATTCATTTTAACTTCTTTTTCGATCGAAGTAATTCTATAGAAATTCGATTATATTTTAGATTCCTCAGCTCCGAAAACTTTAGCCGGCTATTTTAAAAATCAGCGAATTTTTTGTGACAACCTCTATGACCGAAAAAAAATCGAAATTTACGGAAGTCTATCGTCTTTTTATCAGAGATTCGCTTTCGATATTTTATCTCATCTATAAATGTTAACTTTTTTTTTTTGAATAGCAGCAAATTTTGAGAACGATCCTAATAGTAAACGATAATTGATTTGAAAATAGAAGAAACTATATAAATCTTCTTTTGTTTTTCTTCGTAGCCTCTGCTACGTTTAATAATGTCTCATTGTCTCATTTCTATTTTTTATAATTGATCATTAATTCGTGTATCTATTAATGTATCAATCAAAAAAAGAAACAACAATAGATAAAATACATATCAGTTTTATTCAACTCATTCATATTTGAAAGTGAAGAATAAAAGTAAGAAATAATTTGAGAAAAGAAGAAATTAATGACAAACAAATTCAATAGAATGGTATAAAAGATTGAAAAATAAACTAGATATAATTTATTGAAATCTATAAAATAATAATGCACATATGACTTATTATCCTATACAGCATTTTCATATCATTCTACATGAACAACACCAATTCATGTAAAAAGACTAAGCTTATGAAAAGGGTGTGGGGTGTGGGTGTGGGTGTTTCTTTAGAATAACACCCACCCCACACCCACACCCTTCTATTCGTTCTAAAAAGAATTTCTCTAAAATAAAGTTATTCATGGAATAGAAGTTCAATAGACTGTTATGAATAGCAAGTGTTTACGTGTTACTTTGATCAGCGTACAAGTGTCGAACTGTTCAATATAAGAATGTTTAGTTTTAGTTTTCTGCCATCAGTATTCCATGGAACACAAATACACCGATTACATGAAAATATTCACCGTTTGTATTTTGATAGTTTAACACAATTGATTGGTCAGTGTCACTGAAATGTGAGTATTTTCGTGAAGATCGATGTCAGCGTTATCACAGTTTCAGTAGACAGCGACATCGAAGTCATCAATGGTCATTCTACGTCAGTGTTAACATTTCAGTATTGTCATCAGCGCTGCACATTCTTAGTTCGACAAGTCATATATCGAAATTCTCAGGATACATAGAATAGTTTCTGTGAAATGAAAGACTTCCTATCAATTCTTTTGCGATGCCATTCTTGAGGATAGACCAAGAAATTATTTCTTGAAATTATTTGTCATACGTTCCATGCTCCTCTGTCCTCAATGCTCGTCGGATAAAACTCATATTAGACATGTGCTCAGATGATCTGCTCAACGACTTTATTACAGAATTTTGTAGACAATTCAAAAATCTAAAGTAAGTCTCTAGTTGTAGGAAGAGATGAATAGTTCGTGTCTTATGAGTGTTTTTTTCAATCGATATTGTTTTATCTCACACTGATTTTTTTGTTCAGTTCAAGAAATATTTTCATAATTCCAATCGACCATCGTTTACCTCTGTATGGTGCTCTATTTTTCATCGGGGTGACTACTCATATTTGTGTTAAGTTAATAAAAACGTGAAATAATTTCATTTGTTTGCATCACAAAAATTCATAAGGAGAAGAGATCTTTTTGAAATACATGATTGCATTGGCTAATAATTATTATCCAATTGTTCGACAAGTATCACTAAGTAGCACTATAATCAAATGGTGAGAAGCCAGATCCATCGATTCGACATTAGATTCGATGGGATTTTTGTCAGATCTGACAATCGAATTGAATCATCTGGAAAGTAACGAGCTAATCTATTCATTTTTTGTGCTTAAATCGGATGCAATGCGCTTCTATTCTGCAAGAGGATTTAAAGAAAGAAAAATGTTTTTTTTTCTCTAAGAAAATCTTTATGTTCTTGAATTTGTTCCGTTTTTGCTTGAATATCTTCTTTTAATTTGTCTTCTTTTGTCTAAATATAATCTTGAGAAATAATTTCCTGACGAAAAGAATTTTAATATGTTTTTCAATTGTATCTTGTGTGTTTTGTCGCGTGTTTGAACAACTTGATCAAGATCAGTAATAAGTTTATCAAAAGATGTTGAAAGTGCTTTAGCTGAACATGTTTCACTTAAATGTTTAAGTTGTTTTATTGCAGTCAATGTTTCGAATTGTTTAAAATCTTCTTTATATTGTTTAAGATGATCCTAAAAGAAATTGTTTGTAGTTTTCAAAAAATTCAAATTCAAATTAATTCTCTTATGTTCTTTAATTTGTTTAACGGTAGTATGAACTTCTTTTGCTTTTTGATTGACAAGTTGTTCAAATGCTCTTTCAAATAGTCCAACACATCAATAGTTTGTTCATCGTTTTTTAATATAAGTAAGAACAGGTACTTTATCAACAAGAATTTCTATTTTAAGAACATCTAATGGTGTGATTGGTGTCACAACTTGTTCAGATAAAATTTTATCTTTTTCTTATCGAATTGATTCATCTTCACGTTTAATAACTTCAATACGTTGACCATTAATTTGATCAATTTTAACCGGTGTTACATTATCAATTGGTTTTGGTAAAAATTGAATAGCTGCTTTGAGAAGATCTTCTTGTGGAAGATTTTCAGGTAAGTAAAATAAACGTGATAAAAGTTAAATTGTTGAAAGGAATACGTGAATTAAGATGAAGATCAGATGAAAATTTTCATTATTTCTTCTGTTGATGGTTGACCACTGGTTGAACAAATCTGAATTTAGAAAATGTAGACTTTTATTATGAAAATTTAATGGGAAATATGAAATATGCGTCAAGTCATCTTGAGAGAAAGATATGTTGGATTGGAACTTGAAAAAGACCATAGTATATCCTGTAAAACTTGCTCCATACCGAAGTTTATTCCAATTCATTGAAGGACATTTAACCCACTGTAATTCATCGAAAATCATTATGAACTTTTATCAAGGAAGAAAACATCAATTCTAACTATGTAGGTTCGATGTGTGTGTCTATCGGAGAATCCAAGTTTGAGTCCTAAGAAACCAGTCTCGAATCTCGAAAAAGCCGTTTTGTCATGTCCCGTGGAACATTTGAGATTACCCGGAGAGTTTTTCTTGCAGAAGTCTAGTCCAAGAAACATGATCAAAAAATGAAATTAAAAGATGTTCAAGTTTTTTTCTATGGAAAGGCTATTTTTAGAAGAAAATAACGATTCTTTAGAAAGTCTGATCAGAAGTGTTTTGTTATCACTGAATGAAACTGACAACAGAACAAAGTAAAAGATACACTGCTTTTGCAAATAATCGAACCTTGAGTTTTCGCATTTCCGGGTATCTTTAATAGCACTATACTAGAAAGAAGTAAAATTATTAAATCCTTCATTAAAACAAAATAAAACATTAATTGTAAAGTTAAACAATAAATCAAATATGAAAAATTTATTTTGTTTCTTTTTTTTTTAAATTAGAATAATAGAAAGAATCGAGAACATTCAAGTAGTATGGGTCAATTTATTAATGATGATTCAACAAGTAATCAATCAGATTCATCATCATCAACAAATCCAATTTTTAGACAACAACAATTATTATATGGAAATAATTATGTAACAGCTTGATCAACTGGTGTTCAAGCAATACAATATGAAACTTTAATATCACGTGATGAACAAGAAAAAACAAATAAAAATTTAGTAGGCACAATAAAATGTGGATTAATGACAAAAAATACTAGTAATAGCTCTAGAAATAGTGAAAAATGAAAGAAAAATACCAGTGGTAGTGATACAATTGTTTTGATTAAATGAGAACCACAATCAGAACTGAACGATGAAGTTAGTCTTTTTTTTTTGTTTTAAAAACAAATCAATCTTAAATTGTTTGTTTAGGAAGATATGCAAAACCTTAGCACTAGACGTCATCGTCGTATTATTGAAAATACAGTTTGTCAATGTTATGGATCAGGATGTATGCTAGAAGCACGACCTTCATCAAAATACTGTTCAGATAAATGTGGTCTAGAATTAGCTCGAAAGTATATTGAATTTATTCATTTATTGACATTTATCTATCTTATTTATTTTTCTTAGTCGTCTTCTCAAGGGGGAAACATGATACTTCATACTTCATGTACTTTACCGTACTTTACGGTACTTTAAGATACTTTACGGTACATTACCGTACTCCATGGTAATTTAAGATACTTCATGGTACTTTAAGATACTTCATGATACTTTAAGGTACTTTATTGTACTTTACAGTACTTTGAGATACTTTAGGTATTTCAAAGTACTTCACTGTACTTGGAAGCAGTTTAAGTACTTCAAGATACTATAAGGTACTTCGAACTACTTTACAGTTTCTAAGATATATTAAGGTGCTTTAACATAGTTTTGTCATACAGTAAAATAATTTGATGTAATTAAAGCTGTTATACCACACTAGATAAAGTTAAAGTACGCTTTTCTCTCATTGTCACATTTGATACATAGCATTTCTTTCTACATACGGTGATCAACAAAATCATTACGAGTACTAATACAAGCATCTTTATAACTTTTGTTAAAGATCTAATCTGATCAAAAAAGTTAGATTCTTATCATAGAGAAAAACCAAAAAATATCTTAATATTCTACTATTCAAATAGAATAGTGTTATAAGGAAATAAAAAAACTCAGATACTTTCTCTCGTGAATGTTCTTGTCAATCACAAAGAACTATCAAGTTTTCGATCGTTCCGTATGAAAGATTCGTAGAACAACATTAGATCAATTCAGAAGTACCCTTTGTTAATCTTGATTCAGAATCTAATAAACAAGATTTTTAGTCGATTGTTTCACATCCACTCTACAGTAGATAAATAAATACAGTCCTGAAAAAATACAGACTTCTTCTTACAATAATTCCTCTTACATACATAAAAAAACAAAGAAATTTTAAAATCTATCAAATTTATTTTAGATAGTTATTTGTTTTTAAGATTAGCTGACACCTATCGATAGTAAGATTGAAGTATAGTTACTATTTTATAGATGAGTCATATGGTTAAAGCTACTTTTGAAAAAAACTTATCTTTAGAAATGAAGCAATCAAAAATGTTTTTTTTGTCTTGTTTTTGTTGTGTTGCTAAAGCTTTACTTAGACTTTATAGAGAGAAAAGAAATAGAGTGTCAAAGTTTCAAGAAATATTCGCAAAAAAAAATCTAGGCATGCATACATGACGCTGTATTTTAATGATTGCAGGAGAATAGTGTTTGAATGAAACGCTTCAGTTTTCTAGAAGGAAAATAATAGTTGAAAGCTTTTCCAGTTGACACACAATCAAGTTTCGTCCAATATATTTTTATTATTTGAGGATCTCATCATATGTTCCATATATTATACTTCGCTATTTTCATTTTTTTTCTGAGAATATAACGAGTCAAAATTATTTTATGACAATTATGAATTGTCATTGATTGATTTCACAGTACTTCTAAAAGACAAAACACATTTTAACATGGACAGAAACTTTTTACTACCCATGGAGTCTATTAACTTAGTTATACCGGAAGCTTTCGACAAATAAGGAGAGCATTTCCTTTTGTATAAAGCCTAGAATCAGTTTATTTGTAAAAAGTATTTAGAAGTGTTTTAAAGTTTCGTCTAATTTAAAATAGCTTGTGACATGTAGGTTCGTTTATCGTGTGCACTGACTCTGAGATAAGCTATAATAGTGCTAATTTGACTAGAAGCTTAAGCCATATATCCATGATCCCAGAACAAACAGATTAACTAAAATAATAACTATTCTGACGCATAATTTTGTCAAAAATAATTCACACCTAAGATTTCATAATATTATTACGTATGCCATGTCTTATAATACATTCCTGAACATTATCCATCGTAACACGAATAATATTATATGATCATGAATCTAAGCAAAGTGGCATTTCACCTTAATTTGAATGATTTAAAGAATCTCATACAATGTGGCATTCTGACAATATGAGCGAATCTCCATCACTATTTCGATATTTTTATCTATATTGTGCTACATCTTTTCCAGTACGTCGATAACTTTGCCCATGTTTAATGGAATCTGACAGCTATGCTTCACTAGAGAAGAGAAAGAAACTCGGCGCTCAACAGTACTTTGGTCTTCGATGAAAACTCCTCAAAATAATCTCATGCAGATTTATAGTCTAAAACAAGCAAGAAATAAGAGTATAAGAATTTGATGTAATTATCTATCAGTATTTCTCTGATTAGAACTGAACCAGCTCATTTTAGTTCAAACATTGGATATAATTCAGCTAGTCATAATGAAGTATTTTCCTAATCATTCGAGAAATGAATTTCTTTACAATTAATTAAAATAAATATGCTCTTGATTCGTGTTAATAGAATTCTCAGAGACGCGAAGAGATTTTCAAGTATAATTTAAACTTAAGAGCACAGTCTAACGAAGGACGAGATCTTCTTGTTTTCCATCGAGCCAGTATTTCATCTAAATATTCAGTATTTCTGTAACCTTAGAGGAATACTTTTCTAACGATACCTCTATACCTAAAAGACTTCGACTGCAAAATCAGACTCATTGTTAACATCTTCAATTGTTTTCAAAATTTTTTCAAGAGTATTGATAAACGTCGTATTTTCGAACGCAAAAGTATATTTTAGGGTCTAAGTCAGACATTAATTATTAATTCTATAGAATCATTATCGACACTTGCTGCATATAGATAATTATCGAAAAATACGGAGGAAAATATCGTCAGGCTATAATTTTTTCATACTCGATGTATGGAATTACTGAAGTATTATCTGATCATCTTTTCCTTGTCCATATTTAAAGTTGGGTTTTTGTCAATTCTTTACCTGACGATATACTTTTCTAGAAGAGAAAGTGCTAATAAATATTGACTATGTCCTAATTTATTTTTTTAACCGTGTTGAATCGTCATTCTAAAAATTAACGGATTATTAATATTAGGATTAGCTATTTAGATAATTAGATTTCAGTCGGTGGACCTTAGCAAATTAACGACAATTTATAGATCACTCTCACTGATGAATCACAATAAAGTTTATATTAACATACTACTTTAACTCTTGAGTTTTGCTTGTGATAATGCTCGATTATAAATTGAAATTGTGAAAAAAATATTCACATTTGATAAATTATTCATGCTAATTCATTCATACATGGTGGAAATACAACAACTTCTCTAGTTCTATACACATTTCATAAAGTTCATGTGAACATATCAACTACTATGTCAATATCTTATTCTTTGTATTCTATTCATTGAATTAAGACATAATCTAGATTCTGATGCTATGTTTTCTTCTATCACTAGAAGAAGCAACCAGTTACCATTAGCTTGGTTTTTTACATTCATTAGCTGTTATAAAAAGTCAGGCTATTGAATTGTTAACTCTCAAATAAACAAACTATTATTTGTAAAATACATGTTTCAAAATCATTATTTCCTCTAGATATCTCTTACTCAGGGAGAAACAAACGATTTAAATCATCTGAAAATCAAAACTAAATCATTTGTAAATGATGTTAGATCACACTTGAAAAATTGATTTTAGATGATTTTAAATCATCTTTAAATTATTTTAAATCACCTTAAATCACCTCAACTCATTTTAAATAACAAAATCATAAATCAGTTGTTTCCCCCCTTGTCTCTTACCCCATCGAAAAACAGAAATAATTAATTTAGGTGCAGCGATGATAGACGTGGATTTCTTAAAATTAAACATATTTCATCAGCTCTAGAATACAATCGCCATCTCATTCAAAATCTATTGATATAATGGGAAACCGTGGTGGAAAACTTCGAATAATCCGCTAGTCATCCATTTCATGGTACCAGCAATCTTTTAGACTTATGGAATAATTTTTAAAAAGTGATAGAATATTTCTATCGGATGAATGCGCTCCGAAGCTGACTGGAAGAGAGGACAGTCACCCTCACGACATACATTAAAGTAAATGACAATGAACAATATATTATGTGTACAGAGACTTTGAAATGACTTGAAGACTTTTCATAGAACTTTACAGTACTTCATCATACTTTACCATACTTTAAAGTACTTTAAGATACTCTAAGGTACTTTAAGATACTTCATGGTACTTTATGGTACTTTACCGTACTTTAAAGTACAAAAGTATCATGTTTCCCCCTTGCGTCTTCTTCAGTTTCTTTCAATGCGTTTAATGCAATGACAAACAATTCCTTCAGTTGCTAATACTCTAAATAAAACAGCAATTGACGAAATTCGAATCAAAATTGAAGAAATAAAAAAAAAAACGATTATCTACACTTGATGAACAACAACAAAAATTAGATGAAATTATTGAACAAGAAAACAATTAAAAGTAATTAAAGATACTAATGTAAATATATTTATTATTAATCTATACAAAAAAAAACACAATATTTCCTTTTTTTTTGATTTAGAAAATTGATACTACTAATGATGAATCTGATGGTATGTGTTTTTGTATTTTATGTAATCAAGAAGCTAATCAAAAATCTTATACACGTCATATTGATAAATGTTTTATTCTAGTAAAAAACAAATTTCAATCGAAACAAAATTTTTTAAGTCTTTTTTTTCAGTTTGAAAGTCAAGTATCATATAGATCAAATGTTAAATCGAATATTGAAGGTTTATTGTGTACTCAAAAAGTGAGTACACTCTAGAATCGGTCAGTATGTCCGGCCGGCCGGCCGTTTACACGATAACTTTC